AATACCCTCATCGGCCACCAAAGATGAAGTTTGAATCTCCCATCTTCCACCCGAATAGTATGTGCTTCCTGTTGAATTATTAATCACAGACAATTTGCTCATAAATCACTGCACTTTGATAGTTTACGAGAATGGCGATGTCTGCATTTCCATTCTGCATCCACCCGAGGAAGACAAGTACGGCTATGAGTCGGCTGCAGAACGTTGGTCTCCCGTGCAAACCCCCGAGACAATCCTTCTGTCCGTCATTTCTATGCTTTCCAGCCCGAACGATGAAAGCCCAGCGAATGTGGAGGCTGCTCGGCTATGGCGTGAGGACCCTGCGGAGTTTAAGAAGCGCGTCCGTCGGTGTGTCCGCCTCACTTTGGACGACTAGGACACAATTTAATTATTCACGGCAATTTAAGATGGTGGGTTATGGTCTGATTTGACATGGGGTTGCCGGTGTTCTTTTTTTCCTTCTTCTTTCTTTTCCTGTTCAATGTACCGCCGCGAGCGGTGGTTCTCTTCTTTGTTGCATAAAGCGAGCAATGCTTTGCCATGCTCTCTCCATCTCAGGTTCCTTTGCGGTGCATTTCTTTGCGATTTTCATGAGGGCTGGAGTTTCATCCTGGTATCTTTCTTCCACTGGGTTGGGATTAAATCTATTTCCGACGAATCTTCAGAATATTTAACGTAAATTCAGCACAAATGTAGTGTGATGTTGATTCTTAGATATCTATTCATTACGCCCTGATTAAGCAGAATCTATTCTGCCATAGGCAAAATGTTAGAAAGATAAGACGCAAAAAAGAAGGCGATTATGTAGAGTTTTTGGGCGCGAAGCGCAGTGATGGGAGGAAGATTCCGGGATGGAAGATGGTCATGGCCAGACAGGCCAAAGCAATCATCCTAATGACATGTCAGATGATTTCCCAGAGCTTTGAAACGAACAAAGAGACCACTTACATTCCATCCAAGACAAGGAACTCATTCTCCTTCTGCATCAGCGGGTTACCCCAGCCACCAGCCATCTCCGGGATACTAGATACCATGGTCAATAAAGGGCCTTGAGTGGACTCGGAACTTTGGCTCTTACCGATAAATACACCGAATCAAGACTGTGAGGTAGGCAAAGACCTCGGCGCCCACGATGAACGGCATCCACTTTGGAACAATTGGTGAAACATCGAGGTTCTTCTCACCCGAGAAGCCATCACCATGCTTGAAGACCCTCCAGAAGAAGATGACAGCAAAGAATCCACATACAGCCATGGTTCCAACTTGGAAGGCGATACCGGCGATGATAATGTTGTCGCCTGCTTTGAGCATTGCAAAGTCGTCATTGCCAGCAGCCGCAGCGACACCACCTCCTGCAGCCTGCAAAACGAGGGATCCAATATCGCATCCGATGAAGATCCAGGTGAAAAGACGTGGCTTTAAGATCGAGTGTTCGGGTCCCAAGCTCAGAATGATATGCTTCAATGTTAGGTAGACACCCGCCGCAACGAAGGTTGGCGACAGCACCAAACACACGATCTGAAGCTTGAATGCAGGTCCAGACCATGGATTATCATGCATGAGAACCCGGCCAATGTATCCGGCCATTTCCATAAATGTACCAATGAGGAGAGCTGTCAAGAATGTCCATGTTCGATGGTAGACGCCGAGACCAGTTTGGCATATTCCGAGTAGGGCAAAGAAGACTGCGAAGAAGATGTTTCCGCCAAAACTGGGGTAATAACCGTATGTCGTGAGTTCAACAGGGCACAGTGGGCCTACTTCAGAACAGGTTGCGTAGCTCGCCATGTTTGGGTGAAAGGTGTGTAATCAAAGGAAAGAGAGATGGAGGAGAGGAAGAAGGAGAATGAAGGGAGAGGGAGCCGAGTGAGAGGTGTGAGTTTTAGGAGTGAGATGATAAGAGGTCTAGAGTCTCACACCTCTCAATCTTGAACTGAGAATTTGATATAAAATCACAAAATTATCAATTCCGGGCAGGTCAACGCTAAGGGACAGCAGCAACTACCAGAAAGTGGAGTCCTAAATTGGATCAAATATGATGAAACCGCCCCCAACTGCATTGCTATTGGCTGTTTTTGGTCACTCGTTCTCGTTCTCGTTCTCGTCATCTCCACGTCGCTTACATCGGATCCACTTGTTTTATACGCTTGGATCCCATCGGAGAATTGCTGTTTTTCGTCCGAGATCTTTTTGGAGATCTTTTTTTCTTCTTCTTTCGTTTCTAGAATCTATAAAAAACCTAGATAATCTCGATCAGGACCAAGTTCAGAGTTTCAAATTCTCTCTAAGGCTCTATTGACATATGTGATTATGCTAAGGTTGATACCTAAGTGTATATTGGCTGACGTGGGGGCGAAGTAACGGAATATCAAATGAAAATAATCCGACAAATAGAAGGAAGGCAGAAATTGTAAAAAGATAAACTGATAAAGAGTATTCCGTATCAAAGAGGGAAACCAAGACAGGTCGTGAATAGTCTTTTTATAGTTGTAGTCCACGTGACACCTTCACATTATCCTCTCTCCCGCGCTTGGACTCGCCCACACCTTGAAAGAGCCCGAGCCCAACCGGTTACATGGACCCTCAGGTACCGAGGTTTCCGAGATGCCTCCTCGCCGAGCGCATACAAAATCTCGCCAAGGATGCGACCAGTGCAAGAGACGTCGCGTCAAGGTTAGTGACGGAAGTTCAGGACGGTCCAATAGTTTGCGCTTCGGGCTCCATAAAATGACGCGACTAACGGCAGCAGTGTGACGAAAAGGGGCCACCGTGCTCCAATTGTATCTCGCGGGAACTCCCATGCACATATTTAAGGGCGCCGCCTCGGCCTGATTCACGAGCAAGCGAGGCCCCGGCCCCGTTGGCTATTGTAGACCCAACTCCCCTGCGGCCGAGGATCCCTAGCCTGGCAGCTTCCTTTTCTTCAACCACTTCAGGGGTACGAGATCTAGAGCTTATGCATAAGTTTTCCACCGAAACCTTTATGAGTCTTTGCTCTTCCGACTCGGAGCATTATGTCTGGCAAATCGCTATTCCCCGTCTGGCCCTTCAGTATGATTTTCTAATGAATGGTATTTTGGCGCTGGGCGCTCTTCATATTGCCGCAACAATTGAGCCACCGGCATCGCTGGTGTACATTGACATCGCCTTGCAATATCACAATCTCACATTTGCGCCATATCGAGCAGCGGTTGACAGTATCAATCCACTGAACTGCGAGGCTGCGCTGGCGCAGTCCATTATCACCACCGTTATAGGCATTGCTCTTCCAAGAGTCACTGCTGCCCGCGGAGAAAATTCAAGCATAACGGAGAATATTGTCGTCGTATTTGAACTCTTGCAAGGCGTGAAAAAGATCCATCGGATTGGTGAATCCTGGATCAAATTAGAACTCTTTACCCGTCGAAAAAACCATTGGGATCCTGGATCAGTCAGTCTAGATAGCGACACGCGGGCTGCCCTTGAGCGACTCGATACTTTGAATGATGAGACCCTCGCCAGTATTGATCCCATTCAGCACCAGGTCAACAAAGATGCTATTGTCTACTTGCGGCACTTCTCAATCCGAGTGGCCAATTCTGTTGACCCTGCCAACGTCCTGGCTTGGCTCGCTATGATTGACAAGGAATTCGTGGATAATGTGCGACGCCGACAGCCTTTAGCATTGTTGATCCTCATGCACTGGGGTGTATTACTCGGGGAGCTTGATGGCCAGCAGTGGTGGGCTCGAGACTCGGGCCGGGCATTGATCTCCGAGTTATTGGATGCGCTGCACCCCGGAGACATGGAATGGGCTAACGCTTTGGCTTGGCCCCAGAAAAAGATGGCACTCTGATGAAACGTTTAAAACCGGGTCATCAACAACCAATCTGGACCGTAAATAGCCGTTATCCGCGCAGGATTCCCTGAGGGACCAGATTATGCCTCCAACAACCTACCATGTATTGCCCTAACTCTTGTACAATGCAGTGTACGGCCCGAATCCACCATTCCTATGATACAAATGTTAAACAAGAAGAAAAAAAGGAGAAAGAAAGTAATTTTGAAGAAGCTTGACCAATGTATCAATAGCAATAGATTTTGGAATGTTGAATCACGGAATATTAACTCGTATAGTCCATAGACTCATCAGCAATTCAATCGCGTTGCACATTACACATATTCAGCCCTGTAGCTGGAGTGTATCAGCTGTTTGGAGGAATAAAAGTTATCTCTCTAGATGGAATGAATACTACGCAACAATTTGTCTTTAATATTATTTACGAAGGCCATCTCATTAATTACAGCTTTAATCCAAGACGAACATATCCGAGTGACGTGTTTCACAGACTAGTTATCATTTCGTGATAGTTCGAACAAGGGTACACGCATATGACGACATAGAAAACGGTATAACAGGTTTTCATTGGCGTTGGCCCTCTTTGCTATATCCATGCTTTTTAAAATACCCCTTTTCATTGATCAGGGGCCTATTTGGACCACTATGAGTCGAACATAACTGGTAAAACCAACATCAGCCAACTGCCAAGACGGTGCCAATCCACAACTCTATGTGGGCCCCGGGGAGGTAAACGGCTTTTCATAGGGGTTCAAAGTTATTTGATAGTTAATTTTGCCCGTTCTCGAGCGGATTCTGCGTAGAAATTCAACTTATATTAGGTACGCCTTGGAATTTTGTTCTTGTTTTGAAGAATACGTAGCTCTATACAGGGGCTTTTATATAGGCAACGCTATAATTGGCCCCCATTGAGACCCTAAGCGTTATGTGATTGTAACCCTTGCAATAAAAAGAGAGAGCCTAGTGAACCCTGCTATCTTGGCAGATCGTGGGGCGAAGGATCACTGATCAATCGTCTCTCGCAGTTGACCTCGCGTTATGTTCACCTTCACCCTTTGACTCTGACCTATCATTCGATATGACAGGCGCACGGAGCAGGACATACTCGCCCAGCACATTACAACTCCCATAATCAAGTTTAATTACTTTCAACTCTTCCGATATGCGACCAAAAAAGGGTTTTTTCATTATCGGTGTATCATTCCTTGCTGCGATCATAGCCGGGGCAATCACAACAATGCCGGCACTGTTAACAGGCTTGTTGATTGGCAGTATACAAGACGGCTGGTCTGGGGGTTCATCCCAAGACAGGTCCAATAGCGAATTGACGCGCTTCACAATTTACTTCGTGTATCTTTTTCTGGGCGAGATGGTGTCATGCTACATTGCCAATATCGGATTCATCCGTACTGGTAACATATTATCGAGCCGGATCAGGGAACGGTATTTGGCTGCGCTTTTGAGTCAAAACATTGCCTTCTTTGACAATATCGGAGCTGGAGAAATATCAACTCATATCACCGCCAGACGCAGATTTAATTCGAGATGGTATCTCAGAGAAAGTCAGTGTTGCCGTACAGTGCTCTGCATCGGTTATCGCCGCTTCTGTCATAGGTTTTATGCGAGACTGGAGGTGGACGCTCACCTTGGCCTCTAGTATCGTATGCATCACCCTTGTATTTGCCGCCGGCGGTATATTGCTCACGAAACATCGCCAGCAATGGTTGGGGGAGACCGAAGCATCTGGTAGCATTGTCCAAGAGGTGTTTTCATCCATTAGAATGGTCATGGGGCTCAATGCGCAATCCGAGCGTGTGGCCCGATACGATAGCTGTCTAGCTAAAGCAGAACGTTTTGCAAATAACGCCAGGTGCCCTTCTTGGTGCTGTCTTTGCCGTTATTTACTTGGCTATCAAGTTAAGATTCTAAATGGGTTCGCGCTTCCTGGTAGCAGACACATCCTCGTACATCGATACCTTGACCATTATCCTCGCGACAGTGACCGGCATCACTTGTCTCGGTGGTATTGTTCCTCCACTTCAAGACTTCACTATTGCTACGGCCGCTGGATCAAGACTGTATAGCACCATTGACAGAAGACCTCCGGGGATCGCGATTCGTCCTTCTGAAGGGAAGCTCGACAGTGTGCTTAGTCATATTGAGTTACAAAATGTCAGACATATATATCCTTCAAGACCATATATCGTTGTTTTAGACAACTTGAGTTTGGATATTGAACCCGGAAAAACGACAGCCATCGTTGGACCATCTGGATTCGGAAAGAGCACCATAATCGAACTTCTCGAGCGTTTCTATGATCCCGTTGCCGGCGATATTCTCTTGAATGGTCACAAACTCTCAGAACTGAGTCCAAATTGGCTAAGGCAGTAAATTTCGCTGGTCCAACAATCCCCTACATTGTTTGCTACGACTATCTTCGAGAACATCCGGTATGGCCTGGTTGGCACAACCCATGGAAATGCATCCAAGGAAGAACTTGAGAATATTGTATACAATACCACTCGCGTCCAAATGCCCATGACTTTATCACTCAGTTACCTGACGGCTACGATAGCCTTGTTGGTGAGGCTGGCGTGTTACTTTCCGGCGGCCAGAAACAGCGCATTGCCATCTCTCGCGCCCTCATCTCCGATCCTCGAACTCTTCTTCTTGACGATGCCACCTCAGCCTTGGACTCGACGAGTGAATCTGTTGTTCAAGCTGCAATCGAGAAAACATCTCAAGGGAGAACGACCGTTGTTGTGGCTCATCGTTTGTCAACCGTCAAATCTGCGGGCAAAATTATCGTCTTGTCTGGTGGTCAACTAGTTGAACAACGTACTCATAAATTTCTCCAAGAAAAGAATGGAGTGTATAGTCGACTAGCCAAATCACAGGCTGTCAACTTGAGTGGAAAGGAATCTCTCGACAACGACAGTTATTTGGAAGTTTCCATCCAAAATGCTACATTTGTCTCCGAAGAGACAGAGAAAGAGGCTCCGCCGACCACCGGAAGCCCTTTGTTTGATATAGCGCATAGGGACGCATATGCTCCCGGGAGCCTGGATCGGCCACGCCACCAGTATTCGATGCGGACCCTTCTGAGGTTTCTGAATGGTTTCCACAAGGACTCTATGGCATTGGTATCAATGGGGTTTCTAGCTTCAATCCAAAAAGGAGCTGGGGCACCCGCTCAGGCGGTATTTCTGGCCAAATGTCTTGCTGCACTCGCAAAACCTCAAGCTGAATTTTCACAGCTTCGGTCCAAGACAAATCTTTGGGCTGGAATGCACATCGTTTTGGCTTTTGTACAGTTCTTCGTTTACTCAGCTCAAGCCTCTGCTTTGGGAAAATGTACAGGAGGGCTTATCCGTCGTCTCGGTGGCCTGTCGGGCCCTGCTCGACAAAGACATGTCTTTTTTTGACACGGAGGAGCACAGTGTCGGCGCACTGGTATCATTTCTCGGCACTGAGCCAGCCAGTATGGCGGGAATGGGTTGCTACGCCATTGGAAATTGCATCATGGCACTCACAACTCTCATCGGTGCCATCGCAACCAGCATAGCTGTCGGATGGAAACTTGGACTTGTCGGTGCCGCTACAGTCCCCGTTCTTCTGATCTGCGGATTCCTTCGATTCAGCGTCATGGCTCAGCTTGAGGCCCATCTTCGTCAAGTGTATCAAGAAACAGCATCACTAGCCAGTGAAGCAGTCTCGGCCATCCGCACTGTCATATCTCTAAATCGGGAGTCCAATGTTTCAGCAATATTTCACAACAAGCTAGCCGAACAAGATTCGAAGATTCGCTCAAGCCTGACATCTTCGGCACCCTTACTGTGTTCTGCCCTTGGCTTGTGGTATGGTGGCACTCTCGTTATCAGTGGGGAGTATGGATTATTCCAGTTCATCTTGAGTTTCGCTGCTGTTAACGTTTGCGGTGATGCTGCTGGCTTGATATTTAGCAGCTCGCCAGATTTAGCCAAGGCAAAACTTTCGGCCATTCGACTTGATGGGCTGTTGGATCGACAACCACAACCCCAATTCGATTTTGGCGAATCTCAACCTCTTTTGCAAGGTAATATTGGATTTCGGAATGTCCACTTTTCGTATCCTATACGCCTTGATAGGCAAATACTGAATGGCCTCGATCTCACTGTACACAGGGGTAAATAAATCGCTTTAGTTGGACCCAGTGGATGCGGGAAAAGTACCATTGTTGCACTTTTAGAACGTTTCTACCATCCACTCGCCGGCCTTATTACAATGGACGGCCGGGATCTCTCCTCAATGAATATGAGGGCATACCGCGATCAAGTCGCACTTGTCAATCGAGACCCTACACTATTCCACGGCACCATCCGAGATAATCTCCTCCTCAAACTCGATGCATCAAAGTATTCTCAAGAAGAATTGGAAACCAGCTGCAAGGACGCACATATCCTTGATTTCATCCATTCATTCCCCCAAGTCATTCACCTAATTCATATCACTAGCACTAAACTGACTTGATCATACAGTCTCGGATTTGATACGATGTGCGGAGGAAAGAGAAACAACTTTTCCGGTGGTCAAAAACAGCGAATAGCAATTGCGCGTGCCCTTATGAGATGGCCAAGCGTCCTGTTACTAGATGAAGTCACTTCGGCGCTGGATTCGGAATCCCAAAGCGTAGTCCAGACTACACTCGACCAAGCTGCAAAGCAGCGCACTACAGTTGCCATCGCCCATCGCTTGAGTTCTGTGCGGAATGCGGACCTCATCTGCTACCTAGAGGATGGTGTGGTCGTTGAATCTGGAACACATGCCGAGCTCATACGAAGGCATGGGCGTTTTTTTGCAATGTTGAGCCTACAGAACCTTGAGAAATAGGTGCGAACCCATTGGTTCAACTTTCCCCAAGTTCCTTTGTTCCTTTGTTTACATTTGATCTTGATTAAGTATAAAACCATTGCGACTGTGGTATTTCTATCTTTGAGCTGTTGGCTGCTGAGTCTCTTACAACCACTGCAATAAGCTCAGCTTATTTGAACCCAGTATACCTTCAAGAGAGGAAGTCCTACTCCGATATGAATCAAATAGAGATTTATTGAGCAAGTACTATGATAGGCGGAGTGTGGGCTACGCGAAGTTGGTATGTTGCGGAAACATATTCGTCCAGATATCTCAGGTCTCTCGAAAATCACCAGGGTTACAAGTATTGTGGCAGGTCTGCAGCCCCTAGTCTCCCTGCAGCTCATTCATATCCGAGCTTTCTCCTTTCCAGTCCCGAGACCATTGTGAGTCCGTATCAAATTAAAAGCATCTGCCTCATGCTTGCACACTTGCATGCTCAATGGACCGCTCACCTGCTTGAGCCAATAAGACCGCCCGCAATCGAAGAGCCAGTTGCGTGTCCCCACTTGAATCAACTCAGCAAGAAAGCACTGCGGTGTGCTGCGATCTTCGGTGAAGATGATCTTTGGGAACTCTCGCTGGACTTCAGGCGTGGCATTTTCATGGCCCAGTCGAAAAACCTCGTCGAAGGTGATCGGGTGATAGAGCTGAGAACCGACCTGGACAATGCCCGTCGTTCGTGCTGCTGCGTGTAATAGACACGCGTTTGCTACGAGGTCCACGGGAATCTCGTCGAGGATATTGGTGCCTGTTTGATAGCCTCTGGTGGCATGCCAAACCTGTGTGGTGCCTCGATCGGAGAACCAGAGCCTAGTAAACTTGGTGAGAGGCGTGGAGTCCTCCGATCCATATAGCGAGTAGGGGTGTCTAAACGCAGGACCGAAGATTGTTGGCCGTAGCAGTAGAACTGGAAGAAGTGGGAAGCGGCTGAGTAGTAGACGTTCCATGAGATGCTTGGCTTGGGTGTAGGTAGACGAGAATTTGCCCGCGTGCGGTGAAGTGTCCAGCGTCAACATGGATGCCAGCTCTTGCTCCGGATTTTCTTCGCCTCCCAATTGATATATCCGCTCTAAAACTGGGCCATCCGGAAGATGGCTATTGACGTATGAGGTAGATATCTGGACGAGGATTTTCAGTCGCCGGAACCCAGAGGCAATCCGGGCCATTTCCAGCGCAGGGAGGCAATTGCTTTCCAGAGCATCACGAATGGGACCTTCAAGCTTGATCTTGGCTGCTGTATGAATAACCAGCGTCACCTGGTCTTGAAGCCGTCCAAGGACATTGGATTCAATGCCAAAGTCCGCCGTTTTCATGTCGCCAATCACAAACTCGACTTTCTTCGTGGCTAAAATAGCCTGTGCATGATTTGGCATCGATTCTTTCAATTTTCCAATGGCTCGCTGGGAGTTCCCTCTAACCAAGACGAAAATCTTCCGAGTCGGCAGTTGCAAAGCTAGCTTGTACAGGAGACAACCTCCTAAGCACCCAGTACCTCCGGTGAGGAAGACTGTATGGCCCTCGAATATCTTTCCATATCCTCCCCGCACGACTTCGTCGGCATCTGGTGATTTTGCGGTCGAAGCTGATGACATTGAATAGGCTGAGCAAGAGATTCGGGTGTGAAGTGTAGCTAAGGTCTCTATAGAAGAAATATCTGTAGAAGAATGATACAAGAATTGGCTGCGGGTGCGGTAATGTCGGAAGGTATACAGAATGTCGTAGCATCTTTCATTAAAATTTGGAAGTCAAATGGTTGGTAGGACAGGACTTAATGTCCCTCTTACATTTGTACAGTCTTGGATCTTGGAGGTTACTTTTCTGGAGGTGCAGGCCAACAAGTTGGCTAGGAGCTTCGATTTGACTGACAAGGCTGGTAACCTCCAGGAATATGGAATGGGGGCTTCGCTCTTGTCAGAAGAACATAATAGCCCGGAGGTATACCTGGACTTTCGCGCCATGTGCTGCCGAGGTTCAATGTAATTGTGTGACCTGAAGGAGTATCGTGTTGTAGTTCCTAGAGATCTGGCTCAAGGGACACAGACAGAGCTGCACTCCATTTGTCTGAGAAATGTAGAGCTCGGAGCAAGCATATCCATTCAGGACAGCCCATACCTGATAAACGGGTCGTACAAGTCTCACCCTTGAAGGATTGCAAGATAGATTTCGCCTACATGTGATGCGAGAAAGAACTGGATTTCGTAATTGAATCATTGAAGTATATGCCTTCCACCTTCGATGAACGGCGTGGAGAAAACTATGTGCTGTTGATTGGTGGAATTCTTCGGCGAACCAATCCAATCCTATCTGTACAAGAGAGATATAGACACCGGCCGGGGCAAAAGCGATATCAAACGCACCGTAAATCCTGGGTCCCTTTTCAAAGTGGTTGATCACCAATCAAAAGCCCTTGCTTCCACCACTACACCAGCAGCGTGCATCTCCGTCACGCTCAACCTGGACGAGAGTATCCATGTTTTTCTCTCGGAGGAAGTCGACGGTCCGTTGACGTACTTCTTCCAGATCTGCGCCCCGAGAAGCGATGACGTGCATCACTCCGAAAATGTTCTGGGTTTTTTTCTCATGCGCATGATCGTGACCGTGATCGTGGCGATGGTCATGGTCATGGGTACGATCGTGGCCGTGGTGCTGCTCATGATCATGACCATGATGGTGTTGGCTATGACTATGATCACGGTGATGCTCACAACCCCCATGGCTGGAATGGTCATGGGAATGGGTATGCCCGGAGGACACCGCTCCTGTATCATCGAGCCAGAATTTAGGCACCGTATAACTAACCACGCCTCTTAAAGTACTGACTCCCGCTAGTGTTTCCCGAAGAGTGTATTCAGTGTCGGCTGGCAGAGTGAGTAGCAATGTCTTGGCCGTGCTGCCAACTAAAGGAACGGCCGAGGCGAAGATCAATATGGCAATGAAGCATGATGCCAATGGGTCGTAACCAGCCCAACCGGAGTAATGGACGAGAATGGTTGAAATGACGACTGCCACTGAACCAAGTGTATCGGCAAGAATGTGCAAAAAGATGCCGTGCATGTTCTCATTGCCATGAGAATGATCATGACCATGATCATGGCCGTGATGAGCATGACCATGCTCGAAGCTGAAGATTCCGACCAAGTTGACTGCAAGGCCAGCAATGCTGACGATCAATAGCTCACCTAGACGATGCATCTCACTCCCCGATGAGAGCCGTTCCACCGCTTCGTAAATGATCTCCACGCTGATAATCCTACACGTTGTTAAATTTTGCCCTTGCCCACCGCTTTGACAACACTCACATGAGGAAAATCCCATTGGCAAATCCTGACAAAGTATCAACTTTGCCATAGCCGTAGGGGAATCGGGCGTTTGGGGGCCACTTGCTCATGACTGCGGCACATAGACCAACGACAAGCGCAAGACAATCGAAAAACATGTGAATACTGTCACTAAGCAGTCCCAGTGATCCAGTCAGGAATCCATATGACAATTGAACAAGCATAAAAGTGAAATTCAGGCTGCAAAACATTAGCAGTAGTTCAAAAGTGATGGCTTTTTATGCTTCATAACTCACCACATAAAGTAGAAGATGCTACGAGAATCCTTCTCCTTGAGAATGCTGTACAGCAACGGATATGGTTCGCTTTGATGGAGAAGCCACTTTGATACTCGGGAGGATTCCGAGGTAGTGTGTGAATGTGAATGGCTGTGCGTGTGATTATGCGCATGCGTATCCAGATGCAAATGAATATCATCCCTTCGAGAGGCGAAGAAAGAGGCTGTAGCCAAGATACCCCGTGTGGCATAAGACATGAGCAAGTCATCCTGGGTATGTGGGGAACAAAGAAAAGCTGCAGCTCCGGCGCAAATTGCAAGCCCGGTCTTTTTGGAAGAGCGGAGGCTGGGGGGCAGGGAAATCATGAGAGAAGTAGCAAAGATACTCATAGGAATAAGGAGGTACATGAGCTCCGAGACGCTGAAGACAAATGCTCGGTTGAAAAATATGGTCAGAAGTGCAAGGGAGGACCCGGCTATAACGGCCAGTGGTGCATCAGTTGTGACCACAGCGGATGAGTGGCTCCGGTGTGAAACCTTGCTCTGTGCAGCAACGAGACCTGGTTCCGGAATAGGTCCATTGCGACGGAGGGATGGAAATGGGGGAGGAGCAACAAACACAGATCCTAATAGGGCAGTATATCCGATGGCTGGAGATACGTCCCAAGGATGGTTCAGCCCAAGAAAACTTGATATAATAACAACTACTAGCAGGGCAATCGATAGGATCTTTCGACTGTATTTCTCTTGAGTGTGTGAGGTCGAATTAATGATGGCTGGGAATCCTGATGCTGTCGCAAGGAGTAGTGAAAATGCAACCAAAAAGCCCCCGACCTTGAGTGCTGCAAATATTGGCAGTGCCACTGAGACAATTTGTGAAAGTGAGGCTTGAACACTCTTCACATTTAGTTTGGGCAAATTCACGGATGGGAGCGTGGAAGAGCCAGCCTTTTGGTAGTTGATCCGTAGTATTTGACCACAGCCAAAGAGGATGAGAGTGGTCGCTGTCAAAAGGCAGGTCTTTTGACCAACTTGTCCGTTAGGAATACTCGCTGTTGCACCAGGTATACCTTCGGTGGACAGCTTTTGTATTTGGGTGAACTGTCTCTGGTACCAAGAAAGCACCACCCACGGCAGCACGATGAGTGTACTAGTCAAAATCTCGTGGCTGTGATTGTGGTCAGCTTGTACTTGTCAATCACACTCTAGCGCACATACGTCTTCTCTGAACTATAGTTTGCTTGTATAGTAGTATCCGTAGATAAAATTCCATAAACGCCGTTCGAGTCTTTCAAATGGTGGTCATCTAGCCCATCATGGTGAAGAGATGACACACTATGGTTATGATTGTGGTGTGCATTGGAGTGCGAGTGCGAGTGCGAGTGCGAGTGCGCATTGTGAGTGTGACTCGATGCTTGATG